GGATCGGCCCTGGTCGGACGGCAGAAATCGGTCGGGCGGCGGGCGCCGACCTGACCCCGATCGCGCACCGGTGGCGGGCGCCAACCGCCGAACCGCAGGAGGCCAAATGGGCGTCCTGGTCCATGGAAATCAACCCTCCTCGTCTCATCACCACCAAACGTAGCTGCCAGACTGGGCGGGGCTGGCCTGGCATTTCGCCTGCGACCGCCTCGCGGACTCTGCCCCTGACGAGTGAGATTGCCAAAGGGTACACGCATGCAAGGCGGCTGGTTATCAAAACGCGGCTCTCGCCTGGGCGCCACGCACAATAGTCACAAAATTATCAACCGTTCTACGGATGGAGAACGGGCGGTCTTCAAAAATGTAGGTCTCGCCTTAGCGCCGCGCTCCTTCGCCTAAAACTACCAAATAAGGTAACGGGTTGAGGACGGGTCATTTCCACATGTGGAGCTCGAAGTTTGTCCGAAACTCAATCAACACACAGTGTCTTTGGGATGTGTGGCCCGAATTGAAGCTAACAATTGAGCAGAATGCCAACCCAGCCGGCGGCGCTCCTATTCCGACCGAAGGGCGGGCCGAAAAAGAAACGCGGGCCAGGGGCGACACGGGGACGGGCCGGAAAGCGAGGAGCCGAGGAGCGAGAAGGGGAAGAGGCGAGGGAGGGGCGACGACAGGAAGGGACAGACCGGGCCGACGGACAGAGGGACGGGAGACGGAGAGAGGCAGCCAAGCAGGGAGAGAGAGAGAGAGAGAGAGGGACAGGACACAGCACACCAGGGGGAGGACACACGAGGGCGAGAGGGGGGGGACGCGGAGAGAGGGAGGGGAGAGGGAGGGAAGCAAGGAGCCAGAGGCAGGGCAGGCAGGAGGGGCACACAGGGACAGCGGGCAAGGGGGGGGGGGCACGCGCCCAGCACGGCGGCCAGCGGGCGAGACGGAATCGGCTCATCTCGTACTACAGCGCACGCGGCTGCGAGGCTGGAGAAGGGAGAGGAGGAGGAGGAGGAGGAGGAGGAGAAAATGCACATTCACTGCCACAGCGGCGGCACGTGGCCAGGCGACCAACCGCCTACCTCCACGCCCGGGGCGAGATCGTGGAGGCGTCGCAAAATGGCCCGCGCGTTTTCCCTGCGAAGGGAACATGACAATCGCTGGGCTATTCGCAAGCTCTCCCCCTCCGCCTCCCCGCGCCAGCAGGCGCTCGCGCGCTTGGCAATCGCGTCCAAGGTCTGCCGCGCCGTCTTCCCCCAGCCGCCGCTGTGGGATTCGATCACCATCGGTGCAAAAGACAGGCCTGCGTCCGTGCACAGTTCCTCTGTTGTGGCGGTCTCTCCAGGGGCCTTAAAAGACCTCTTGAAGTCCTCGTATGCGCTCAGGACAGACTCTGGATTCGTCGCAGCGTCTCGTGGCACATCTGCGCGCAGACCCGACGCGCAAGCGAAGTCCAGGGCAGCAGGTGTCCCGCCCAGAGCTCGGGGGAAGAAGACATCGGCAGGGCGTCTCCGGGACCTTGAAACGCCCGGGGCCTCCCCTCCGCCACTGCTGGGAGGCGTGCCGTCGCCCCGCGGGCGTTCCGGGAGCAGACCGGGCTTCGCCCTCTCTGGGCCCATCTGACCCTTCAATGCGTCTTCGAACACCGAGTCCCGCAAGCGATTGTGGCGGACCGTGCGGTCACCGCTGCATAGACACACGGGGGCATGATCGCCGAAGCTGTCCATGGCGCCGCCGCGCATAGGGCAGAACACGTCGGCATCCTGCATGCGGATCCGCAGCCTGCGCCTCAGAGCTATCTTGAACAGAGCGGGCTCTATGGTTCGCGCGGCGTCCGCTGGCGGCGCGGTCAGCCACGTCCCAGCCCCGCATAGCTGCTGGAGGGACAGGTGGGCCGCGTAAGAAACGTCGGCGGAGCTGTCGCGCCTCAGGTCCTGCTCCCGCTCAGCGTCCACCAGGGCCGACATCGCCATTTGACTTTGCCCAAGAACGGCAGCGGCCTCGGGCGAAATGCGTCCGGCGTGCGCCCGTTTCGCTGCGCCCCGATGCGAGTGGCCAGCCGCGTCGTCAGGGTCGAAGCCAGCGTCAATGGACGCGCGCGTCGCCTCCGTGGCGCGCAGAGACGCCAAGTGCGCGGCGGCCGCGCGGTCGTCGGCCCCTCTGAGACCGAGGCCGCCCCGCTTGATTCCCAGCGTGGCACGCGTCCACTCGCGGTCTCCAATCTCGGCGCCGAGTACTTCCTTGAGGGCCGCCCGCTGGTTCGCCGTGAACTCCTGCAAGACGCTGTCGTGCAGCTCCGGCGGCACCGTCCGCATTGAGTATACGAGCTCAGCGTACGAGGCGCACTGGCGGATGAGATGGAGCGCCGCCCGGGCGTCTTGCAACTTTGACACCTCCCGCAGAAGCACCCCCGCCTTGCGCGCCCTCTTCTGCGCGTGGCTTGCGCAAAATGCCGCTGATCCGAACGGCGCCCCGAGCAGCTTGAAATTCCCGGACTGATTGAAGTTAAAGCCTTCGAACCAACCTGGCGGGACGCTGTGCCGCCCCGTTGCTGTGGGAACAATATCGCACTTTGCTCTGTTGAGTGTCAAGCCAACGTCAGCCAGGGAGCTCTCGGCGAGCTCGCAGAAGCGTCGCACGGCTCGGGAAGACCCTCCAATCACACCGTCGTCCAAGTAGAAGGACACCAGAAGCGATTCCCCAGGAAATTCCCGCAGAACTTGAGCTCGCGTCTCCTGGATGATTGCATGGATGGCCAGAGCGAACAGGGCCGGGCCGAGAGGGTCGCCCTGCTGCACTCCCCTTGCGGACTCCAAGCGGCTACTGCCCATCATGAGATTGGTCGGCTCGCCGTAGCAGAAATCCACCCATGGGGCTAATTCGGGCACCACTCGCCGGACTGCTTGCCGAACCTGTGAACGGTCTACCGTGTTGAAGGCGTTCGAGAGGTCCAACATGGCCAGGACGCTATCGGTGTCGGCGCTGTGGCGTCCTATCCACTGCCGAACGGTATGCACGACCGCCTCGCAGCCGGATTTTGTGCCCACTCCGACTTGCAACGGTTCTAGATGAGAGCGCACCTCCTCTGCGGCCGCTGCGGCCAGGAGCTTGCCAGTCACCCGCCGAAGCACCTCCCCAACAGCAATGGGTCGGAGACCGCCGTCCTGGTTCCGCAGCGCTGCCAGAGACCCGCCGCATAGCCAGGGCCGCACTGCAGTCGACGCCTCACCGCGTGCGAGGAGCTCAGCGAGGGCCGCCATCTGTCGCAGCACTTCGTCGGCCATGCCCGGGGTCAGCGCGTCCTTGAGGTGCTGTGGTCGTAGAGCGGACGGGCCGGCCGCAGAACCTTTCGGGAAGAAACGGATTGCTTTCTCGACGTCCTCTGGCGTGGGCTGCGGGGCTGCCTGTGGGCTGATCGGCCGCAGCGCCCGCGTGCGCTCCTCTTCTGCTTGTCTGGCAAGCGGATGCTTGTCCCGCATGTCGCGGAGCACCTCGGTAGTCACTGGGACTGGCGGCTCTCGTACCAAGGAGCCGCACGCTTTGCTGTACAAGCTCTCTTTGACCAAGGCCGCACAGCGCTCTTCGTTAGCGCGCAAGCTCTCGCGCGGTTCCTCCGGGGCAGTGCCTGCCCGGGGTGGTCTCCAAAAACTCCCCCGCTGACCCTCCAGCCAAGCCTCGCAACTCCTCTTCACGTCTGCCTCGTTCCTCTTCTTGCTCTTTTTGCCTCCCTGGTCAGCGGCCCGTAGGACCATCTTAGGCAGGGCAAGCAGCTGAATCCATGCTTTCTCGTCGTTGTGAATGCGGGCATCTGACAAGGCTGCGGCTAAGCACTGGGCCCACAACTTCTGGGCGCCGCGCGGGACGTGAGCCCGCGTAGGGATCCGGACGGCCATCGAATCCTCCAGCGACGGCCAATCTGCTGGTATCGGTCTGCCGTCAGGGACCCTGGCGAGCCCTTGCCGGAGGGTCGGGCGGCATCGCGGGCATGCACCCCCGTACCTGCGAGACAAGAGGCGTGAGCAAACAGCGCAAGCTCCAAGGTTCTGCGCCTGCATCCAATCCACCAGTATGTTCCCAATGAGACGGCCAGAGGCGTGTTCCTGGACGTGGTTCCGAAGCGTCTGCACAGAAGTCCAGCCGGCCGCGCGCGCGGAGTCGCTCTGAGGGCATCCCGGGACTGGGCAGTAGAGACGGGGCCTGCCCGCTGCCGACTGCGTGCCTGCTGGCGGAGGCGGAGGCGGCGCGCCAGCGCCGTCCGTGCTTCCCCGAGCGCCGCCATTGGGCTCCTCGCCAATGCTGCCTCCAGCGTGCTGCGTGAACGCCATGTTCTGGCCCTCTTCTCTCCGAACCTCGCGCCGGCGCAACTGTGGAGGGCTGTTCCTTCAAACGGGGTTCTCGATTCGAGACATCACCACAGTGCAAACTCAGTATGTTTTCTACTGGAGCTCTCGCCTGAGACCTCCTCAAATCTACTACCAGAAGTGCGAAGCTCGTGTAATCGCTACGCAGATGGAGGGCGGCTTCACCATGGAGCTATCGGCGGACACGTCCTCGAACTGGATGGTCCTGCTTCATGCTTCCTTGACAACCCGTACAATAATTGGCAGAGTGCAGGCCGCCGTTCATGGAGCTATTCTTCACACGTGCATGCGCTGTTTCCTCGATGACTCGTGTCTCAAGATCTCGGTCCAACTGTGGGAAATTGTTGATATAATCCAAGGGTGTGGCGGTCGTACTGCGAACTGCTACTGCGTGTCGCAGTCCTTCCAGGGCGCCGAGTGTCACTGGCACCGCCACTGGCTCCTAGTCCTGCATGCTCCTATATACTTCTACATGCTCCTCCTCCTCCTCCTCCTCCTCCTCCACCTGCTCCTCCTCCTCCACCTGCTCCACCTCCTCCTCCTCCTCGTCCTCGTCCTCCTCCTCCTCCTCCTCCTCCTCCTCCTCCTCCTCCTCCTCCTCTTCCCTCCTCGAGGTCCTCGGGCGCCCAGCCGCCGGGGACGCGGGGCCTGGCTGAGAAGCAGCGCGGACAGCGGCATGACCTCGCGCCCGTCCGGGTCCTGCCCCACCCCCCATCCGCGGGCGGCCGGGGGGGGTGCGGGCGGGTTCCGAGGGGGAAGGCAACTTTCGGGAAGCATCGGCTCAGAGAGGGGGGGGGCGCCGAGCTGGAAGCGGCGATGCATCGCCGATGGATCGGCGAGAGGCCCCCGACGGCGAATCCGGCCTATCTGACCCCTGTCGGCGATGAGTATGGGGCGATGCATCCCCCCCTGATCCTGTCCCTCCACAACGATCCCCCTGATGAGGGAAAAGGAGGGAGCAGGCAAGAAAGAGATGGGACGACCTGCGAAACCGGATCGGACCGTCGAGTCGTCCCGAAGCGAGAAGAAGGCGGACCGCCGCGCCTTGCTCTGGCCGTCCCTGGCAATCTGGCTGGTGTCTGTGCATCGAACCGAACTGGGCCGATGCGGGATCGCAGCCCCAGCCGTCGGATCGAATCGCATGGAGAATCGAGTCGTGGGCGGCTGCGGCAGGAGGCAGGACGACGGGGAGCGAGGGGGGAGGTGGGGGGTGCAGGAGCGCGCAGCGGAGCGGAGATGGAAGGCAACGAGAACGCGGGGGGGAGGGGGGGGCGAAGACGACGAGAAGGATGGGAGGACGGGGTGGATGAGGACGGGAGGATGAGCAGGAGAGGGTGGAGGGAGGAGCAGCAGCAGCCGCAGACGGGGAGAAGGAGGAGGGGAGAAGGAGGAAGTGGGAAGGAAGAAGGAGGGGGGGGAAAGGAGGCAAGGGTGGAGGAGGGGTCGCTGGTTGCCGCGCGGCTCCCGTGCGCAGGGGCGTCGGAATCCTGGACCACGAGAACTGGCAAAGGAGGGCCAGAAAGCTGGGAGGCCTGCCAGGGCCTGGGCGACCCGTGGAGAGAGCCGAGGGAGGGGAAGGAGGGGAGGAGAGAGAGCAAGGGGCAGAAGGGGAGAGGTAGAGCAGGCGGGAGGAAGCTGTTTGCGTGGCGGGCCCCCCTCACGCAGCCGCCCAGTGGGGGAGGATGAGGAGGGAGGAGAATCAGAGTAAACGCAGGATGCATCAACGATGCTGAAATACCCCCTCCTGTCAGAGGACTGGTCTCTGCAGGCATTTGTTCACAACGGGGACGGGACCTTGGAAGACGAGCGCCCCACGGGCCTCTCATGAAGGCGACAGCCGCGAGGAAAATCGCCGCACCCCCACCCTTGCACATGGCCGTGAGAGGCGCCAGGCGGCAGGATCAGCTGCCTCCGTACCCCCCTGGCGCGCTGAGATGTGGCAGACTGACGATCGCTGCCGTCTGGTAGGGCTTCGTTCTCCTGTGGCTCAGCACCACGCGCGCACCGCGCTCTGTCTCCCAAGCCCCACGCCCCGCACGCGCCGTACCACGCTCAGTCGAACGCACCGCCCTCCCCCACCCCCCCATCCCAGGGACCCATGGGCGACCAGCCGCCTCTCAACCAGCCGCCCCTCTGGACTTCCCCAGGCTCCCTCTGACGTCCAGGACGGCCCCGCCAAGGCCACCAAGATGACCCAAGATGGCCCGGGAGGGCCGCAAGAGGCTCCCAGGACAGCCCCAAGACTCTGCCAGGCGGCCGAGAGAGACACCAGACGCAACGAAGATGGCCTGGTAGAGCCGCAAGACGACCAGAAAAAGGTCCCAAGAGGGCTCCAGGATGGCCCCGCAGGAGCTCAAGACAGCCCAAAGACAAGCTGGTCAAGGTAGGCCCCCACGATAAGAGCCCCTCGAGAAAGAGAGACAAATTAATTACATGGTATGGCCTTCTGGGAGGTGCTGGAAGCGTCTTCACACAATAAAGAACTGCATTGTCAAGGCGGCGGTATTTTGTCGCATGCTGCTGAATAAAAATCAGAGCGGTGTTGTCCAGGCCGGCCTCGGTGAAGTTGACCAAAGAGGTCGTCTACGAAATGAACAAATTCTCGGCGCGCGCAGAGGGTCGACTGATAGGGCGACGTCATCTGGAGACTTTCCAATTGGCAATTCTCATCGTTCCGCACGGACGGGTCGATGCTTTCGGGCGCGGCGCAGCCAATGGCAGCATCAATGACCTTCTGGTGATCCGAATGGTCCACTTCGTGTTGACCCCCGCTGCATGCATCATCCTCAACCCAGGTGGACATGCCGTCGGCAGCCTGTCATCCCGCTCGGGCTGGCGGAATGTACGCTTCACCCTCAGAAACGAGATTCAAACAAAACCCGCGTTGTCCCCTCCCCATCCTCGCCCGTCTCCTCTGGATATCCCCGTCCCCTCCGTGGAGCCGCCCTCCGCGGAGTGGTAGACGTCCCAGAATGTCGTGGCGTCGACGAGGCAGACGATGCCTCCGAGGGCGTCGTCGTTTTCGGTCGCGCGCTCGTCTTCTGTCTCTGTGGCAACTGAGGTAAGAGAAGAGGAGGGGGCGAGAATATGAGGAGGAGGAGGTGAAGCGGCGCCAGCAACAGGAAGCACGAGTACAAGAATACGATACACACAGGCACCAACCAGTCACCCGCCAGGCTCCCTGAAGAGATGGAATCGCGCGCGGCCTCGGCGGCCCCGCCTCCTCTTCCCAACACACACACACACACACACACGCTGAACTCGAAAACGAACCCTGGTTTGGGGGGTCAAGGATATCAAACTACCTCCCCCCCTGAAACCACACCACAAAAGTGTCCCCTCAACCCTCGCGTTCTTCCCTGCACGCTCCACATGCCCCGATGCGCCTGCCATCAAAAAACATCTCCCCATTCACCCTGCCTGCTTTCCACCTTCATCCCCCATCTCCGATCATCGATCTCCGCTACCCAGTTCAACCCCTCCCCCACCAAGATGGCCGCAAGACGCCCCAAAAAGAGGGCCCGAAGATCGGCCAAGAGGGCCCCAGGACAGCCCCAAGAGGACCCCAAGCCTGCCCTAAAGCGTCCAAGGAAGGGCCCAAATAAAGCCCAAAGACACCCAGAAGGCGGCTTCCGAGGGCCAAGAAGCCCAGTAGAGGCAACAGAGGCCCCCAAGGGGCCCCTCAGAAGCCCCCAGAAACCCGAAGAGCCCCCAAGAAACCCCAGGAGACATCCTCCGCCGCCTACTCCTCCTCCATCCCTCTTTCCAACGTCTCCCTGTCGCACCCCGGCACGCGTCGGGAGGGCGGGCCGGGCTTTGCGCATGAGACTTCGTCACTCCTAATCCTGAATCTTGAAGGCGGGTCGTTTTCGAATGATGATGAAGCGTAGCAACAGTTTTAGGGGTGGAGGACTGCTGGTTTTCAAAATATGGCAATCGCCTCAGTCGCTCACATTCGTTTTAGATATGTGCAAGAGCTTCACGGATTGAGAGCGGGTGGTTTCAAAGTGTGGCTCTCGCCTTCGAGCCGCGCACTCACTCGTTTTAAACATGTGCAAGAACTTCACGGATTGAGGGCGGGTAGTTTCAAAATGTGCAAGACCTTCACGGATTGAAGGCGGGTGGTTTTCCAAAGTTGGCTTTCGCCTCAGCGCCGCGAAAGTTTGTTTCAAACATTTGCAAGAGGTTCTCGGATTGACGGCGGGTCATGTTCAGAATGTGGCTCTCGCCGTAACGCCGAACACACTCGTTGTAAAAAATACGAAAGCTTCACGGATTGAAGGCGGTTGCTTTTCGAAGTGTGGCTCTCGCTTTCGCGCCGCGTACATTCGTTCTAACATGGTTCAATAATTTCACGGATTGAGGGCGGGTAGATTTCAAAATGTGGTTTTCGCTTTAGCGTCGCGCAAACTCATTGTCAAAAGTTTGCAAGAGCTTCACGGAATGAGGGCGGTTCGTTTGCATAATGTGGCTCTCGCCCAAGAGCCACGCCCATGCGTTTTCAACCTTCAAAAACGTTTCCCTTTATTCTCATTTTTAACGTGCCGAATGAGTGTTCTGGAAAGACTCAGGATTGCCGGGGCGCAACAATGATGTTGACTCGCGGTGTTGAAAGCCAAGGAACGGTGTTCTGGCACGCTGCAGGATCGCCAATATGCAAAGTCGGGTTAAATCGTGGCGTTGCTGTCCTGAGAATGGTGTGTTGGCACGCTCAGGATGTTCGATCTGGTGCTTTTGGGCCCCAAAGGAAGCTCAGGGAGTACGGGGGTGGCAGCTACACACTTCGGTACCCATCATTCGATACTCTACGCCCTCGTCCGATCACTTCGATAGCATCTCGATATCTTATTCTTGAGGTGCTGGCACATCGCGCGCCCCAGGTACACTGGTCAGGCAACTGTTCAAGGACACCCTCCAACCAGTGGGGACGGCAGATGGATTCGTAATCGCATCTTCATCGTGATCCGACGTGCCCGCTCGACGACATGAGCGACGACGAGGTTGTGAAGGAGAGGGACGTACAGGCGGCCGCCAATTCACTTCCCATCCTGGACGCAATTTGCAAGCTGATTAAGAACGAGCTGGAGCCTATCAAACGCGACATGGCTGCGATGAGCATAGCGCATCGCACCGAGGTCCCAACGACGCCATGGCGCCTGTACGAACCACGGTCGACGAGTTCAAGCAAATATTGGAAGTATTGGAATCACAGTTCTCTCAACCACCATCGGCTCGGTCTGTATATGGGTCCTCCACCGTCCCCGCGCTGGAAACAAAGGTTCAAGATCTTGAGCGCCAAGACAAAGAGCTAACGATTACACGCACAGCATCACCGACGAGTAAACAACGTGGCAACAAGACGATAGACGATGAGCAGCGCAACGTTACCGCCGCAATTGGTGACCTAATTGGTTTTGCCTCCAGCGCCGCAGCCATAGCATGGGTGAAGGATCAGTCACGCCAATGTGAAACACCACCCGCCGGGGAAAGGCACTAAAAAGGGAACGTGTTTGAGAACATGATGTTCGCCGACTTGAAAAACGTGAACGACCGCGATCTTAGCTTTTGGCACTTTCCGCAGTGCTGGGAGAGCGCACGCGGGCACGAAGAGTTGGATTACTCAGGATCGACAGCCAACCTGACGTGCGGTACGATTGTTTTGCTTCGGAGTGAAATACAGACTGAAAGACGACATGAACACTGATTACAAAATCAACATCATTATGGGTTGTCTTCCATACTATGTGTACGTTGGTGGGGACATTGCAGTTACCGCCACCGTCACCAACAACAAACTTGATCTTGCATGGTCGGAGTCTTGGGTTCTTGCAGAAGGCGTCTAAGCCTTACCAAGCTGAAAGACCTGACTCTCAAAAACGAAGACTTCTTAGGTCGCAAAGCTACCAGCATGAAGGGTACAGGAAAAAGAAACACGAAGGGAAACGGTGGGAGGTAGGGAATACGGCCGGACATCGGAGCCAGCCCATCTACAAGCACAATTTCGGACGCTACCGCGGGCACGAATCTGTGCAAATATACCGTCGTGCACAACGTAGCCTTGTACACTTGGAACTGTACCTTTTCATGTTGTTTCGCTTTCCTCCCCAATCCCTCGCCAACAACATGCCTCCGGCCACGATCGTGGACAAAGTTCTGGAAGCCACCCACTTTTGCCCCATCCTACCACCTGGGGCTGATCAAAATCTACCTGCAAACCTTGCTCACTTATGCGGATCGGCACTGGGAACGTTGAAGGCTCACGCGGTGACACCCTCATGCAACACCTCACGGAAGTTTCACCTTCTTGTTCGCCTCGATCCTCAGGTCTTGGGCAAAGCTACCAATATACCACCTACCTCTACAAATACTCCTCTGAGTCCCGGAAGCAACATCGCTGTACAAGACACCTTGCTTTTCCCACGCCGGTCCCTCCCTACAAGGGGTGCAGCACGTCCTGGACCTGGGCAAAGATACCGTACTGGGCACGATAATCATCAATGTTTGAGTCTCTTTACATATCTTGGGTGGCTCTCCTATTTCGCGCTGTCAGCCGCTGGCGCCTCCACTTTCATCTTCACCTCGGGCTACAACCACACTACATCCGCATCGACGCGCCCTGGTATCAATCAGGCGATTTGTTCCCAGCCTCGCCGCTTCTGCAGCCCTCTCGTCTCTGAACATATTGGATGCTGGAATGTCGAGGGGTTTCGGGGAGATTCCCAGATCAAACTCACCGAACTAGCGAAGATGATGCGGAGGAAGAGCATGGGGACCTGATGTGTTCAAGAGACACAACTGCACGGCGCACACCATGAAGATGAAGATCGATTCCTTCTATGTTTATCTTGGGAGCTCGATCGAAAACACCGCTCTGATGCAGGCGCACAATTTATCACTGCTCCATGGGTGAACCGAGCTGCGGGAGCTTTCCGTGCAATATCTCCACGATTGGCAACCTTACAAGTACGTGTCCAGCACGGCGTCTGGGACATCAACACCGCCTATGCTCCGCATAGTGGACATCCTTACGACCAACGGCAGCTAGTCGCAGCAACAAGGCACACAACACCGCACAGTTCGACGATGGTTCTTGGCGACTTCAACGCGAAGCTATTTCAGCAAGGCCCAGGTGAAAGCATTATGGGAAAATATGTGTTTCAAAGTGCTCCCAGTCGGAGCGCACAGCGGCAAGTTTCGAATAAGCAGTTGCTGATGGAGCACTGTATCGCCAAGGACTTGGAACATGCCACCACGCACTTCCAAATACCATATGAGCAACGAGTTACATACAGAGACCTGGGGATCCAAACTCTGGAGACTGTCACGCAGCACAGCTTCAGCCATATTAACCACGTGCTTTGCCACAACACAATGCTGCCATGGACTATGGATTGCAGGACCGATAGGACGGCTGCTCTCAACAGCCATCACTTCTTGACGCAAGTTGTGGTGCGCTCCCAATTTGAAAAGACAGCCATGATACCAGAGGTTCGTGTTGATGTATCGTCGGTGTGGGACCCATGCATGAAGGAGGAGTTCACGCAGAGGTTCTGCAGCGCCTTTGAAGAATCACGAACGATGAATGGGACGCTCGACAACTTAGCTACGAATCGTGAGCAGGCCTTTGTAACAACATAAGCGACTTACAAACCAGGGCAACTCAAGCCAAGAAGCGGTGCATAGAACAACGTAACGCATGCCGGTGTAACGAGGATCACATTCTTGAACGTGTCTTGGACAAGCAGATCCAGAAGGCAGCTCAGAAAGATCGCACGAATTGGATCAACAAGAACTTGATAGGTGGAAGCTGGAAGGCTTTGACAATTATTCGGAAGAAGCCGCAACCTAACACGCCGGAATACGAGACCTGAACAACAACCTCACGGACACCGCTGGCCGGCCAGATGCCGTAGCAGATTATGTTGAGAAGGTTCAGTGGGACGTCAACATCGCAGATGTTTCCCCTGCTGCTTCAGACGCCTTTAGTAAAGAAGTGTCAGTGGCATGTCAGATTTTACATTGGATGAGCTGGGGTTCGCTTTGACGAAGATGAAGCGCGGGAAACCTGCATGTCCTGAGCACGGTCCTCCAGATGTTTGAAAAACCTATCTCAAGATAATGATGCGTGTGCGATTATTCTCGAAACTTGTCAAGCATGTTGGGAAACCAAATACATATCAGAGACATGGAGAAGAACGAAAGTTGTCGTATTGTTCAAGAGAGGAGACGTCACGTTGCCCAGCAACTATCGCCTAATCTCCCTCCTGACAGTTGGGTACAAAGCGCTTGCTACAATGATCCATCAAAGGATATTGCAAGGGGGGCAAAGACCGGATGCGCAACTCACAATTCGGATTCCGACCTCGGCAAGACACGGCAGACGCCCTCATGGTGATCAGAGTGATGGTGGACGCAGCTACACTCAACGAAGGCGGCGGCATACTCATGGTGTTTCTCGATTGGGCGACAGCTTTCGACAGGCTGGAGACGCAGTGTTTGTCTGAAGCATTGGCTCGCTTTAGGATCCCGCTCCCCATGGTTCGGATGATCGAAGGAGTCTATTCGTAACGCTTCTTCACCCTTGTTGATCATTGCGGATGTTCCACGGACCGACGACAAGCTGCTGGTATAGTGCAGGGATGCCCTCTATCCCCATATCTCGTCGTTGCTGTTCAAACTATCATGCTGCACTATGTTTATGGAGCTACACCTACAACGCGAACCAGCCGATGTGGTAACACGAGACGTACTGCACGTAGACGAAACATTCAGAACTTCAAAGCACACGGATAACATCCAAGCACTGTTGAACGCTACTGTTCTGGAGGGGCAAAAATACGGCATGGAGTTGAATTGGGACAAACCAATACAATTGCAAATCTTGTCCAGCAGCTCGGTAACGAGACCAACCGGAGAACCCATCAGAATCATCAGTCAAACTATCTACCTTGGAGGATTGATTATTAACGATGGCCGCGTGGGACACGAAGTTAACAGACGACTGGGTGTGTGCAGAAGTGTATGTCGAGAGCTGTGCTAAATTTGCGTTATTAGTAATTTGCTATGCTCATTGGACCCCTTGTGCGCGCGAAAGCATGACAAACAGCGGCTAGACGCTTTTGACAGCAAGTGCTTGCGCAAAATATTGAGCATCCCGCATAATTATTATTCGAGGGGTGTCGAACGCAAGACCCTTTCTGACTTGTTGCGTGAACACCAGGTGCAGATGTTCCACAACATCGCAGACAACAACTCGCTGGCCTAATACCTTGTGCGCGACGAAGGCGGCACCCCGAAAAATTGGGCCGAGCGCAGACTGAGAGGCAAACCCAGACAACACTGGGCCCAATCCGTATACAAACATCAACAGGCATCCTGATATTTCTGACGCTGTCGTTGCCATCGGCGCTCTGTGGCCCGCATGCGGCATATTGATTGTGCATTTCTCGCTCCGTTCTCTTCCTCACCCTCGCCTCCCTCCTTTTCCGTCCTCCTCGCCTTCCTCCCCATTGCCTTACGCCGCATACATGCGAATTCTGCTCCCCTTGCGATGGCCCAAAATGGTTGTCGTGCCGACGCACCCTGCTGGACAGATGGCTTGAGTGAGTGAGGATGTTCGCACGGTTGTTCCACAACGGGGCAATTCCCTCAGTGGAAATGACCCCTTGTAGGGGCCTGTGAAGAGTGAACTTGGAAGGAGGCTATATTCCAACATCGTTGATGAGCCTTGGGTTTGCACTGGTCCTCCTCCTCCTCCTCCTCCTCCTCCGCCACCGCCACCGCCACCGCCACCGCCTCCGCCTCCTCCTCCGCCTCCCTCCACCGTCCGCCCCATGTCCCGAGCTTGTGGCAGGACCATCAGCTCGTCGCTGTCGTTGGAGGCGTGGTCGTCGTCGTGGTGGTGGTCGTCGTCGTCGTCCTTCTGGCTCGGCGGCACAGGCCGTAAGAGGCCTTCACAACCTGGCTCTGGATTCATTCTCGAGGCTCGAGGGCCACAGGCCCGAGAACTGCCCCCGATGCCGAAACTTCTTGAACAACTGCACGCCAATCCGACGACAGATCCTCGACCGACCGACGACGGCCTCTCGCACCAGGCGCGAGCGGCCGCCTGCGAGGAACACGCGGTCCATCAGCGGCTCTCCTACCGGGCGCCCGCGGCTTGCAAGTGGATGTGGAGGAACAACAAAAAGGCAAGCGTGAACAAAAACTCTCGTGATGTGACATCACACCCTGGCGGCAGAAGACACTAAACAGCTTTCAGAATGGGCCACGCAGGATGGGCATAGACGGAGACACATAGGTTGACCACAGTGTACAATACCATGTCAACAACAAAATCCGCCACAATGCTGCATGTACGTTGAGGCGTGGAACAATGCCAAGGGCTGCCTGGCAACTTCCGTGAAATCTTCTAAGGGACCCCCCACCATCTCCGGTAGCACCCACCTGGCTGCGCCACCCCTACTCCCGGGGGGGTGTCTAGACGGCCATGGCGCCGCCTCAGGGATTTCCAAAGCTTCCATGATGGCGAAGGAGGCCCCCAGTACGGTCCAAGAGGGCCCCGATTCGCCGAACGATCGCTCGAAGACGCCCAAGATGGCCTCCAGATGGCCTAAGAGGCCTCCAAGACGCCCCAAGAGGCCTCCAAGAGGCCTCCAAAGAGTCACCCAAAAGGCAACATTAACTTACTTGTTCCATCGGTGTTTGAAGGATCTCGGCGTTCTCGCCTTTTCGGCAATCCGACGCTCCAAGACGTGCCCATCGGGCCACAAGATCGCCCCAAGACGGCCCAAGAGGCCACCAAGATGCCCGCAAGACGGCCCAAGAGGGCCCCAAGACTGCCCAAGAGGCCTCCAAGACGGCCCCGAAAGGGACACAAGAGAGGGAGCACGAACCGAAAATCCAAGCCTTCTGCCCCAAGAGGCCCCCAGGAGGCCCCAAGAGGCACCCAAGAGGTTCCAAGAGGCCCCCAAGAGGCTCGCACGAGGCCCCAAGAGGCCCTCAAGAGGCCCAAACGAGCCCCCAAGAGGCCCCAAAAAGATCATCAAGAGGCCTCAAACCTGCCTCCAAGAGGCCCCCGAGAGGCCTCCCACGAGATCACAACGAACGTCAAATAGGCTGAATACCCACGACGCAGGCACGGTGGCGGCATTTGCCGTAGGCAGCTGGCTTATGAGACGACTACTGAGACAACTTCGAATACTTGATAAATACGGAGATTCGAATAAGTCTGCCATGTAGCCCCGATGCACGCGTTGCAGTGTCACCCGGTCCCTTCGAGTTATCTGTATTGAGCCATGTAAACATTTTCTAAGGGGCCCACAGCCCAGAGTTCCCAGCGCTCCCGGGCGCTACTGGGTGCGTTCGGGGGGTCCCCGCGTGACTTTCGAGAGGGTAAGACGCATTGCTCAGGACAGCATGGCCAGCATTGTTTCAGATGCCTAAGGGGACCGTCCTGGAGTCTTCATGGGCGCCCTGGAGGGCAGCCCAAGAGTCCAAAATCGAAAAAATCCAGCGTGCTTGTGTTCATGGTGTTCGCATGACTGCCTTTTCGGTCTTCAGAGCGTGAAAAGACTGCCCAAGAGGTGCCCAAGATCGCCCCAAAACGGCCCACGAGCCCCTAAGAGAAGCCCGAGAGGCACCCAAGACGGCCCTAAGAGGGGCCCAAGATGGGGAACACGAACTTACATGTTGAGCCCTCCGCCCCAAGATGGCCCTCAAATACACCACAAGTCCTCGAGATGCACCCGCCCTCAAATACACCACAAGCCCTCGAGATGCACCCAAGAGGCCCCAAGAGGACCCCAAGAGGCACGGAGAGACTCCCCCCAAAAAACCCAAGACGCCGCAAGACACGACATCCCCAAAACCGCATCCAAAAGGCATCCGAGAGGCCTCCCAAGAGATACTCACAGGCATCCAGGAGGCCTCTGACATGCAACCCAGGCACGATGGGATGAAGGCCATTAGACCTGGCCCGGCACGGAAACGGAAAGAGCGCCTTAAAAAAATAAACCGAAATTACTCACACCACCGTTCGTACTGGGAGCCTTGGCGTTGAGAGCTTGTTACGTCACCCCTCGCTCCTGGGAGCCTTGGTGTTCAGAGATTGTTGCGTTGCCGCCTGTTCCTGAGCCTTGGCTGGGCCTTGGTGTCAGGAACTTGTTACGTCACCGCTCTTTGCTGGGAGCCTTGGTCTTAGCAGCTTGTTTACATCACCGTTTGCTCTTGGGAGCCTTGGTGTGAAGAGCTTTTTGCGGTACCGATCGCTCTTTACTTGGCGTCTCTGGGCCTTCTTGGGAGTCCTATTGCGGCCCTTTTGGAGCCCTTTTGGAGCCCTTTTGGGGACCTCTTTGGGGCCTCTTGGGGCTTCTTGGGGGGCTCTTGGGGCCTCCTGGGAGCATCTTGGCGCGAAAGAAAGGCTACACTTTTCCGTTCGTGGTCCCCCTCTTGGGGCCGTCTTGGGGCCCTCTTGGGCCTTCTTGGGCGTCTCTTGGGCGGTCTTTGGGGCCCTCTTGGGCCGTTTTGGGGGCCTCTTGGGAGCCTCTTGGGCCGTCTTGGGGCGGTCTTGGGGGCCTCTTGGGCCGTCGTCGACGCCGCGAAAGCGGAAAAGCCGTCCATGCTAAAAATGTACGTTTTACTTTGGAAAATCACTGATTTGGGCCTCCTGGTTGCCTCTTGGGACGCCTCTTGGGAGCCTCTTGGGGCTTCTTGAAGGGCTCTTGGAGCCTCCTGGGAGCGTCTTGGGCGAAAGGCTAGACTTTCCGGTTCGTGGTACTCTTGGGCCGTCTTGGGCGCCCCTTCGGCCGTCTCGGGACCCTCTTGGGCCGTTTTGGGGGCCTCTTGGGAGCCTCTTGGGCCGTCCTGGGGCGGTCTTGGGGGCCTCTTGGGCCGTCGTCAACGCCGTGAAAGCCGAAAAGCCGCACATGCTAAAAATGAATATTTTCTCATGGGAAATCAATGATTTTGGCCTCCTGGGGCCTCTTGGGGGCCTCTTGGGGGGCCTCTTGGGAGCATCTTGGAGCCTCCTGGGAGCTCTTGGGGCGACAGGCTAGACTTTTCCGTTCGTGGTCCCCGTCTTGGGGCCGTCTTGGGGCGCTCTTGGGCCGTCTTGGGCGCCTCTTGGGCCGTCTGGGGGGCCTCTTGGGCCGTTTGGGGGGCCTTTTGGGAACCTCTTGGGCCGTCCTGGGGCGGTCTTGGGGGCCTCTTGGGCCGTCGTCGACGCCGTGGAGGCCGAAAAGTCGCGTATGCTCAAAATGCAAGTTCTCCTCAGGAAAATCAATCATTTTGGCCTCTTGGGGCCCTCTTGGGACGCCCCTTGGGCACCTCTTGGGGCGTCTTGGAAGCCTCTTGGGCCGTCTTGGGCGGTCTTGGGCTCTCTTGGAGCGCTCTTGGGCCGTCTTGGAGGTATCTTGGGCCGTCTTGGGCACTTCTTGGGCCATATTAGGCGCCTAAGACGGCCCAAGAAGCGCCCAAGAGGCCTCCAAGACGCCCCGGGAGGGCCATTAGACCAATACATCCGGGCCTCGCCCCTCCCCTGGACCCCTCCCTAGAAGGGCTTCGCTCCAACTCAACGGAACTCACTCGTACCTCGCTCTTTCCGTCACCTGGCCCAGCACAGAAACGGAAAGAGCGCTTCAGAAACAGAGACCGAAATTACTCACACCAGCGTTCCTACCGGGACCCTTGGCGTTGAGAGCTTGTTACGTCATCCGTCGCTCTTGGGAGCCTTGGTGTTCAGAGATTGTTGCGTTGCCGCCCGTTCCTGAGCCTTGGCTGGGCCTTGGTGTCAGGAACGCTGAGCCTTTGCTGGGCATTGGTGTCAGGAACTTGTTACGTCACCGTTCGCTCTTGGGAGCCTTGGTCTCATCAGCTTGTTTACGTCACCGTTTGCTCTGGGGAACCTTCGTGTGAAGAGCTGTTTGCGTTACCGATCGCTCTTTATTTGGCGTCTCTGGGCCTTCTTGGGAGTCCTATTGCGGCCCTTTTCGAGCCCCTTGGGGGGCCAAATTGGGGGCCTCTTGGGGCTTCTTGGGGGGCTCTTGGGGCCTCCTGGGAGCTTCTTGGGGCGAAAGACTAGACTTGTTGGTTCGTGGTCCCCCTCTTGGGTCCCGTTTTGGGAGTCTCTTGGGAGCTTCTTGGGCCGTCTTGGGGTGGTCTTGGGGGCCCCTTGGGCCGTCGTCAACGCCGTGAAAGCCGAAAAACCGCATACGCCTAAGCCGAATTCTCGCTTGCCTATGGAATATATATATATATATATAAATATATATATATATAATGTTACCCTCTTGGGGGAATATCGTGGGGCTTCTTGGGGGGCTCTTGGGGCCTCCTGGGAGCTTCGTGGGGCGAAAGGCCAGACGTTCGGTTCGTGGTTCCCCTCTTGGGGCCGTCTTGGGGCCCTCTTTGGCCGTCTTGGGCGCCTCTTGGGCCGTCTGGGGGCCCTCTTGGCCGTTTTGGGTGCCTCTTGGGAGTCTCTTGGGCCGCCTTGGAGCGGTCTTTGGGGCCTCTTGGACCGTCGTCGACGCCGTGAAAGCCGAAAAGCCGTGCTTGCTAAAAATGCACCTGTTCCCTAAGGGAAATCAATGATGTTGGCCTCCTAGTGGCCTCTTGGGACGCCTCTTGACGGCCTCTTGGGGCTTCTTGGGGGCTCTTGGAGCCTCCTGGGAGCTTCTTGGGGCGAAAAGCTAGAAATTTCAAGTCATGGTCCCCCTCTTGGGGACGTCTTGGGGCCCCCTTGGGCCGTCTTGGACCGTCTGGGGGCCCTCTGAGGCCATTTTGGGTGCCTCTTGGGAGCCTCTTGGGCCGTATTGGGGGCCTTTTGGGGGCCTCTTGGGCCGTCGTCAACGCCGTGAAAGCCGAAAAGCCATATATGCTAAAAATGCATGTTTCCCTAAGGAAAATCCATGATTTTGGCCTCTTGGGGCCCTCTTGGGACGCCCCTTGGGCGCCTCTTAGGGGCCTCTTGGGGGCCTCTTGGGGGCCTCTTGGGCCGTCTTGGGCGGTCTTTGGCTCTCTTGGAGCGCTCTTGGGCAGTCTTGGAGGGGAACCCGAAACACGTGCAAAAAACCTAAGGGAAAAACCCGAACATGGCCATTACTTACCATCCGGCCCTCACCCCTCTCCTGGACCCATCCCTTA